GGCAGCGGAGCCCTGGGTGGCAGCTGGGCCTCTAAGCACGGGGCGACCAGCAGCTGGGAACCCACGTATAATGTGGGGGTGCTGCAGTATCCCCCAGTTCCTGCGCCTATGCCTCCCTGCCTGCTCCTGCCCCAGCAGCCCCGAGCACAGCACCCCCCGTGCAGGGCACCCGAACTCCATAAGCGCCTACCCTCAAACGCTGCTCTCAGTGATGGAAGCCGCCCACTCCACGCGAGAAGTCGATGGAGCTGGGGCGACGCAGCGTCAGAGCAGACACGGGGCTGCTGACACCGGCTGTTGCTGCCTTAAGAAGCTGTTTTCAGTGGCTGCCAGCGCTCGTGGTGAGGACACGCTCTCCCATCCCACGGAGCGTAGTGCGGACATGCCAAAGCGACTGAATTCCCGGGGTGGCAGTACGCCGTGTTACTTGGGCTGACTTCATTTTGTAGGGTAGATTTGCCCCCAGATTCACTGGGCGGTGGCCCCGTCTGCCAAGTGGTCGGAGGCTCGCAAAACCTGAAGCACTGGAGAAGTTAGCCCAGGGCCTAATCCTGCAAAGGTGCCGGATTAACCGGGCACTAATTGTCTTTCCCATCCCCAATGAAGCTAGAATTGCAACCAGGCCAGCAAGAGACGTTTGACTCAAACTAGAAAGCAAAAGCCGTCAGGAGAGCGCCTGGTTCTCACACTGATCTTACCTTCTCTACCTTCAAGAAGTGCTGTTCGGTGCGCTGACAGTGACTTTTGAGTTGGTTCAGCTTGTGCATTTCACAAGCAAAATTGCGCTTCTCTATTTTCCACATGGCGTTACGCAGATATCTGGAGAATCACAGGCCAATCAGTTTAACTTCAATATTAGGAAAGCCAATGGAGAAAATAATCTAGTAATCAATTTGCAAACACCCAGAAGATAAGAACATAAGAACGGCCGTACTGGGTCAGACCACAGATCCATCTAGCCCAGTATCCTGTCTGCCGACAGTGGCCAGCACCAGGTGCCCCGGAGGGGGTGGACTGAAGACAACGATCCCGGGGGGGGGGGGGGGGCTGCACTCACCTAGCACAGCTTCTGTGGGCCCTTATCTTGCACAGGTCAAAGGGTTCCTGCCCCTCTAGATCTTTGGCATGGACATCAGCTCCAGCTTCCACCAGCTCAATGATGCAGTCCAGGCGCCCTTCGCTGGCAGCCTTGTGAAGTGGGGACATTCCTCCCTGGTTCTGCCTGAAACACAGACGGCCAGTCCACGTTCCAGGCTAGATTTCAGCGCCTGCCTTTGGGTTTGCAAAAGAATATCTCCTCTCCTTGGGCGCGACAAGCTATGTGGGCAGAGAGGAGAGACAGCCACAGGCCCCCTGCCAGGGGCGGATGAGAGTTTTGCGGGGCCCAGGGCAGCACATTATCGCGGGGCCCCCCCTTTGGAGAAAAAAGAGAACAAAGGGAGCTGAAGTCAAAGTACCTTAACTCAACTTTTGGCACTGACCACACTGCAGGAAGTCAAAGGGAGAAAACTCTCCCTTTGACTTCCATTGCTCCTCGTGGAAGCAAAACTACTGGCATTGACTGGAGTTCACCTTTCACTTGTTAGCGTGTCTTCACTAGACTTGCTAATCTGAACCCTGGAAGATCGGCAGTAGCAGCTCGATCTTCTCTTTAGCGTAGACATACTCTAAAATATTAACTCTTGAAAGTACAGGTTAGAACTCCCTGGTCCAGCACCCTTAGGACCTGATGAGGGGATTGGTCGGACATGGGGAAGTCCTCTGTCATTTGCCTCCCAAACTCCTGTTCCTCCCTACTGCCAGCTGCTTCCAGCCTTCCTCCTGCCCACCTCTTCTTTCAAGCCTTCTCCCAGCATTTCCCCCTCCCCCCTTTAACCTCCAATGCCCTTACTCTCTCCTCTCCCAGCATCTCCCTACCCCCCTCCCACTAACACCTCCCCTCCTGCCCATTTCCTCATTGTCTCCACTTGGCCCCCTGGCATTTGTGTCTCCTCCTTTTTCTTCTCCTGACCTGCACCCCTTCCTTTGCCATCCACTTTCTGCCTTCCAGTGTGCAGGGCGGTGGCTGCAGCCGCAGCCCCGGCCCAGGCCACGTGCTGAACCATGTGGTGCAATGCTGGGCCACGCAGTTTTAAAGTCCTGGGCTGTGGCATCATGCCACGCCATGCCACGCCACATAAAGTCCCGGGCCGTGAGGTCACGCCGCGCACGCGCTCCCTCGGCCCCACGTGGGCCGTGCTGGCCGGCGCCGGGGAATTTGAAGGGCGGGGCTGCGGCGCCCCGTCACAGTCCCCCTGCCCCCCAATCTCCTTCTCCTCCTCCAGCAGCCGCCAGCCGGTCCTTCGGCGGACGGCCCACCGGGAAATTCCCGGTATCCCGCCGGGCCAGTCCGCCCCTGGCGCTGGCGCGGGGCCTATTGAAGCACGGGGCCCGGGGCAGCCACCCCGCTCGCCCTGCCCTATATCCACCGCTGCCCCCTCCAGTCCCTCCCCGGCCACTAGAGGACTGTTTGCTATAGGTTTCTGGAGCTTTGTTTGGCCTGGATTTAAAGGTCCCAGTGATGAGCTGCTGCTACTTCTTTTAGGAGACTCTTTCTCATCCTCTGAAGTCAAGAAAATCCTCAAGTCTTTTTTTTGGAGGGGGGAACAGTTTACACCAGGAGAATTTTGGCCAGATCAGCTTGTGAATTTCTTCTGATTACAGCCAAACACTTGTAACCAGGCAGAGTTTCTTTCACTCTGGTTTGCAGGCAGGTCACACACTTTTTGGGTGGACTGCTTGACATGAGTTGATGGGGTGGGAAGTGACTGGATGTTCCTACCTGATAGAAGTAGGCCACCTCCGCAGAGGCTAAAGGAAAAATGGATTACAGAGACTGCACTCTTCTCTCATCCCTTCAGGTTAGGATTCAGGTACCTTAAGATGGAGTGGTGGAAATTTACATTGCCGTTTCTTTTGCTATCTCTGTTCTGAGAATCAACCCAGGACTCGAGCTTCCAGGCCTGCCAAGCCAGCATCTTTAGAGTGCATGAACTCCACACAAATTAACAGGAAACCCCCCCATTAAGAGTTACCAGATCTCACGCCCTCACTCACACATTGATGTCGGCTCCTTTTTCGATGAGGTACTGCAAACACTCCAATGCGTTGGGGCCGCTCTCCTTGTTCATCACCAGATGGATGGGTGACCATCCCGTCAGACTGGGCAAGTTCACGTCCACCTCAAAGTTTTCGATGATCAGTTTCAGGCACTCCAGCCGGCCATGTAGAGCTGCTAAATGGATGGCTGAGAAGCCCTAGCAGGAAGGAGGAAGCAAAGAACAGTTCTAAAGGTTTCTTGTCAGACGTTTCATACCAGAGAGGTTTGGGGCAGTGTTCTGAGCACAAGAGCCCCTCCTGCATTCTAATTTTGGCTCTGATCGTAACTGCCTCTTGTGACCTTGGGAAAGCACATTGCCTTTCTGGGCCTCAGTTTTCCCCCACTGTAAAATGGGGCTAATAATATTTGCCTATCTTCTTGGTGTGGTGGTGTGACGCTGCGTTGGGGGTCCCCTCTCCTGCACCCCGAAATGGCAAAAACAGACTGCACCAGCCGGTGGAATAGAGGAAGTTTATTGCCTCTCCAGGATACAGCACAGCACAGATGTAATCTGGTCACAGAGCTGGGCTAGGATGCCTCAGGCCCCCTTGAGATGGGGGAGACTGGGCCCCTAAACTCCAGCCCCTTTCCCTAGGCTGTCTCCTCCATGCTCCCAGACAGCCAGCAACTAACTAACCCTCTTCCAGCCCTGCCCCCCAGCCAGGGCAGCATCCACCTTCCTTTGTTCCTCTCCATGGGGGGTGTCTGGCCATACTGGTTTGCATAGTGACTCATCCTGTTTTGCTGGGTCGTGGTACCCACGGCAGCCAGTGGGGGTTACCCCAGAGCCAGCAGCATAGAAACCAGCCAGGTACCCCCACTCCGTCACAGGTGGTTTATTCTTTTTTGTTATTTGTGTGTGTCTGAGGACCAGTGATTAGCTATGATCACGAATGGTGGGTTACAACAGAAACGGTATCTGAAATGTAACAAAAATGTCTGCACCCCAATGCTTTATTGACACATACACACACATATCTTGGTTGTGTTTATATATTGCAATGGCCACACACATCCAGGGATAGGACCGTCAATGCTGACACACACAGCTTTCCCACCTGCACCAAACAGCCTCTAAAATTGTGAAGATGTAGAAGGCTATTATAATTACTCAGGACAACCCCTAGAGGGCATGATGATCACGTGTTCCAGCTGATGTGTGATACAACGATATCTATAGAGACATTATTTTAGTACAGGTGTGACAACACATGTAGGATACTAACCCTAGAAATCAGTAATTTACAAAAATAGCCCTAAAATAGCCTATTTCCCTCTTGTTGCTGAAGCACCCAGAAATGTTGACTGCTTTAAGGGCAGGTGCATGGAGAAACCACGCATTAAGAAAGGATGTCAGTTTCTTCGGGAATTAAAGGTAGATACTCAACATGAACCTGCAGATTATTTAAGGTGCCTGTCTCCCCCGTGTTACTTTAAATACCTTCTGTGACGGCGCGTTGGGGGTTCCCCGTCTCCTGCACCCCGAAATGGCACAAACAGACTTCACCAGCCGGTGGAATAGAGGAAGTTTATTGCCTCTCCAGGATACAGCACAGCACAGATGTAGTCTGGTCACAGAGCTGGGCTAGGACACCTCCGGCCCCCTTGAGATGGGGGAGACTGGGCCCCTAAACTCCAGCCCCTTCTCCTAGGCTGTCTCCTCCATGCTCTCCCACAGTAACTAACTAAATTCCCTTCCAGCCCTGCCCCCCAGCCAGGGCAGCATTCCACCTTCCTTTGTTCCTCTCCATGGGGGGTGTCTGGCCACTGGTTCAACAAGTTTGGCCTTACCTCTGCCTAGCGAGGTTTTCCCTGCTGGGTCTTGCTCCAGACAGCAGGGGTCACCACAGCCCAGCAAGTACCCCCACTACGTCACACCTTCGCTTACTGAAACTGCAATAATTACAAAATAAACCCCCAGATTTACATTTTATGAGAGAGTAAAGTAGCCCATCAGTTCTACTTGCGTCCAGTCAATTTCACTTCACTGTCATTTGTTTACTTGCAGGAAACACTGCAAGGAAATATTTAACTTTCCCCTCCCTAAAAAAGAATTTTCGCTATGTGTTTTGTTTCCTGACACTATTCTCCTTAGGGATTTTTAAACACACCCACTTCCCCTCATTTGTGTTGCCACAAGCTAATGTCCCAATTTTGCAATCAGGCCAATGTGCGGAGAACACTGCACTCACGCAGATCCCCGCCTGGGCTTCATACATGTAGAGATCCGCCTGTGTGGATCCAGCCGCAGGATCAGGAACTAAAGGGTCTGGTCTGGGGTGGAGCTGAGCCCCTGCATTTCAATGTCAATGATTTCAATGGGAATTCCAGGTCCTGAGCATTTCTCCGGATTGGGCCCTGCGCGGACAGTGTCTTTTAAAAGGTCTTACGTTCAGCCAGTGAGGATGATCGCTGGTTCCTGAGCACTATCACTGAGGGCGTGATCCTGACCTTTGGATTCAACTGGAATCTCTCCAATACTTTCCACGGAAACAAGGACAGAATCCAACAAACTCCATCTGTGCTCTCACAATAAGGCCCAGTCCTGCATGGTGCCCCTCGCAGGGTCAGGCCCTGTAATGAAGCAGTCTTATTTTTTTGTTTGGTTTCTGCTGATAAGCACAGATCCCAGGAGCGACGCTGAATTGTTTTATTTGTCGCCAGGCGCTCAGTACAAACACAGCCTTAGGCCGAGTGCAGTTTATTCCCGCTATAATGTCACAATTGCAGCTGTGTGGTAAAAGCACTAATTTTCACAGTGGGAACATTTGGTGGCAAAGAGGGAAGCACTTAATAGAACTGTGCTCTCAGCTAAACGACTCTGCATTTATTCTGCATGAGAGCCAACCAAAAAGGCTGCTAACTACCTGCTCCTTCCATTCAGCAGTGCTGTCAGTGGGGTTCATTCACAGGCAAGTCCATGATCTGTAGATCTAGTGCCACGCTGTTCGCCTCGAATCCAGACGCCCAGGTCTCTCAATGACATTACACACTCAGGGCCTCAGCCACGGGTTACCAGGTGGTTTCAACAAAAATACTGGACACACTTGACATTACATCACAATCTACAGTACATCTTAGTTAGAAAATACTGGACAGTTCTATTTTCTCAATTTGTTTCCAGAACAGAAAGCTCAAATACTGGACTGTCTGGTTCAAAACCGGACACCTGGCAACCCTAGAGCCTAAACTTTCTGAAGTCAATCCTATTTGGGGTCAGGAAGGAATTTTCCTCCAGGGTAGATTGGCAGAGGCCCTGGAGGTTTTTCGCCTTCCTCTGTAGCATGGGGCACGGGTCACTAGTGGGAGGATTCTCTGCATCTTGGGGTCTTTGAACCATCATTTCAAGGACTTCAATATCTGAGATATAGGTGAGAGGATTATTCTAGCAGTGGGTGGGTGAGATTCTGTGGCCTGCGTTGTGCAGGGGGTCAGACCAGATGATCAAAATGGTCCCTTCTGACCTTAAAGTCTATGAGTCTAAGCTTTCCAGTGGCTTCCTGGGCTCTGGATCAGGCCCTGGCTAGACACACTGCTAGAAATGCAGCGCTGAACTTGCACACTGCAAGCAAGTCATCCATCCATGAAACTAATCAGAGAATCTCCCTTGCTAATTCAATGTGATCGCCATGAAGACTCAAACTCTGTTGCAGGAGCACTAAGGCTCTGTCTACACTCGCGGCTTCTTGCACGAGTAATATGCAAATGAGGCTAAGCGTGGAATATCGCCGAGCCTCATTTGAATTCCTAATGAGCCACCATTTTTTGCAGAAGAGGCTCTTGCGCAAGAAGAAGCGTCTACATGGCCCCTTCTTGCACAAGAAAACCCCTCTTGCGCAACGCCGTTCTTCCTGAAAAGTACTAGGTGTAACGGCATTGCGCAAGAGGGGTTTTCTTGCGCAAGAAGGGGCCGTGTAGACGCTCCTTCTTGCGCAAGAGCCTCTTCTGAAAAAAATGGTGGCTCATTAGGTATGCAAATGAGGCTCGGCGATATTCCGCGCTTAGCCTCATTTGCATATTACTGGTGTAAGAAGCCGTGAGTGTAGACATAGGAAAAATACTTCCTACAGCAAGGAAATTCAGCTGTCCTTTGGGCGAAAGGACTACAGCACTGCTGTTTGGAAAACCAACTGTTCAGTCTTATTGTCCACCCTGAGGAGCAGTATCATGCCACTGGTTCTCAAGCACAAATACCACTGAAATCCATGTTAGACTCTGCACCCTGTTTAATGAGGGTTTGTTCCTTACTGTTTATTTCCTACTATTGCTCACCTGCTCTAGCGTTTAGAGGAAGAGAGACAACAGATGGATCATAGGACAAATTCAGACCACCGGACGCTGTTGAATGAATCTTGAATCTTTTTATTTACTTATTCTTATCACTAGGGTTATATTTTTAGTATTATTTGCTCAGGAGTCTGGACCTTGACTATACTTTTTGACAAAGACATTTGGACCTGGACAAAAAATAATGGATTATCCCTGTTTTAGCCCCTCCAGTGCTAGGGCTTGCAAGATTAATTCATTGTCTATAGGTGTGACAGACAGGAAGTCCTCCCAGCTGGGTAAATTTTCTCAATGCAATTCCATTACTCCTATTTATAGTTGACCTATGTGATTCCTCTGCTTCTTTGGTAATTACGCCCTTCAAGTACGTACACACGGTTATGCTCCCCTCTGAGTTGTCTCTTAGCTGCCCAGCACAGAGTCAATGTAAGTGTCCTCAGCCCTTCCAGCCCGTTAATCATGTCGATTGCTTTTTCTCTTAATTCCCTCCAATTTGCAAAATATTTCTCTGGCAATAAAGGTGCCAGAGCTGGACGCAGCAGTCTCGGAGCTGACCATCCCGCTTCAACAGGATTAAAGTGTCTCTTGCCTGCCTGCTCGGTGGCATGCTGACTGCGTAAACGTAGTAGAAACGAATTCATCTGCACATAGAGGCAATTTCAGAGCAGGTGTGGTAGGGTTCAGGCTGGTCGGGCTCTGAGAGGGTGTGGCGGGGTCACCAGCCCCGCCCCCTTCGACCCCAAGGCCTGGCCCTTTAACTGCAGGCCCAGCGACCTTGTCCTTTATGGGATCCCCTCGTCGTCCGGGATCTGGGAGGAAGGGGTAGGGGGGCCCAGGCCCTCCCTCTCCACCGGGCCCCAGCCCAGGGTCCTATCAGTGGTGGGTGGTTCCCACCACTGGCTCAGCGGGGGGTTCTCCCCGAAACTCACCGAGCCCGCTGGGTCCTTTCCTGGTCCCCGCCCTGGGTTGCTTCCTACCCCCTCACCCTGGCCGCCAGCGGTGCCACCTGTGGAGCAACGTTGGCAGGTGTGGCTTGGGAGACAGCAGAGGCTGGGGCAGTGACGGCTTCTAGGGGGGCTGCAAAGTGCAGCTGGCATTGTGGTCTGGCTCGTCCCGGAGGCAACAGCAGCAGGGGTAATTGGTTCAGCTGTAACGGCTGTGGCTCTAGTGTCTGGAGAGACGCTCCCCTCCAGCGGCCTGCCCCAACTGAGCAGCCCTGCAGCCTTTTATACCAGAGCTCCGGGGGAGGGGTGTATTCTACCCAATAGACGGGCTCTCCGCCCCCATGTTCAGTGCGGGGCTGGCCAGCCCCGTCACAGAGGGATACGATTTTCAAATGTGGGTGTCTACCATTAAACACGAAGGCCGTGTCTAGATTGGCACGTTTTTCCGCAAAAGCAGGCGCTTTTGCAGAAAAACTTGCCAGCTGTCTACACTGGCCACTTGAATTTCCGCAAGAACACTGACTCTGTAATGTGCAAAATCAGTGCTTCTTGCGGAAATACTATGCTGCTCCCGTTCGGGCAAAAGTCCCTTTTGCGCAAAGCTTTTGCACAAAAGGGCCAGTGTAGACAGCTCAGATTTGGTTTGCGCAAAAAAGCCCCGATGGCGAAAATGGCGATCGGGGCTTTTTTTGCGCAAAAGCGCATCTAGATTGGCACGGACGCTTTTCCGCGCGGAAAAGCGTCCGTACCAATCTAGATGCTCTTTTCCACAAATGCTTTTAACGGAAAACTTTTCCGTTAAAAGCATTTGCGGAAAATCATGCCAGTCTAGACGTAGCCCAAGGGACAGATTTGTCAAGGTATTTACGTGCCTTAATAGGCACAGATGCGCCCGGTAGAATTTCCTAAAGCTCAAAGACACCTCAGTCTCACTGAGTTTTGCGGGCATGAAGCGCCTAGCGGCTTTTGAAAATCTCATGCAACATTCCCATCGGAAGGTGCCTAAACATGTTGAAAAAGCTGGTTCTAAACATCCAGCCTGCTTTTTCAGAGGTGCTGAGCACCCAGATGCTACTGAATAAATTCCCATTACATAACAGCTGCATGATGTAATTGGAAGCAGGAACAAGATGGGCTTGTGGGCTGGATGGCTCACAATGAGTGTCTTGAAATGTTTCAAAGGTCAGATCGAATGTGAAGAGAGACTGTTTGGGGAACACCACTCAGCTCACAG